TTTAAAAACCTTTAAAACAACTTATATTTTAAAGCCAAAAGAGTATATTTTTTATTAAGCATCAATTCTCCACAAAAATGATCCACGTTCTGTATTATTTCCATTGTGTGATATTCAATATGTGCATATGTAACTCTTGATTCTACGGTATAGTTATCCCCTTGGATAGATATTATAGTTCAGTAGATACATGTCTTCTTTTTTAGTGGTTTTCTTTATTTTAATCCAATTGTTAGGTTATCATATTAGTTTTTATAAATTTGGCAAATCACACAAACTAACAATAAAATAAATTCAAACTTAAGAAGTAAATTAATAGGTTTTATTTATATTTGTTAAATAGAACGTAGTTAGTAAACTTTACTATGTTTTTACATCACATTCCGATCACAACCATAATTTTTGTACAACAAAAAAACTTAGAGACAACAAACCAATCACAACTTGATAAACAAAAATAATTGCATAAAAATTCTTTTACCATTCACATAAATTAAGGGATACTAAAATCTAATATGTGATTATTATTTTTTTATCAAAAGAATATGTGAGTTTAAACTCTCAGAAATACACGTAAAATATTGAAAACAACACATCAATCATAAACCCATAGAATCCTAGCATCATAGCCTAAATTCAAATACGAAAAAAAATTCTCAAAAATATCACACTTTGAAGTTTTGTTTCCAAACATAACACAATTTTTAATTTTTTTACTTAAATTTTTAAACATAACCAGACATGTATTGGGTGCTATTGGGTTTGTCCTAGCGCGAGCATTACATTATAGGAATTAATTTTTGTTTTATATAAATTACTAATATTTTATTATATATATGTCTACTTTTAACATTTATACCAAAGTAAAACGAATTAAAATGAATAACTTTAATTTATTTTTTATAATTTATACATGTACCATTTATATTTTTAGTAAACTAAAAATTCATCAAATCAATATGTGAGACTAAACAATTAATAACATACTCCAACAAATATTAATTCTTTTTGTTATTTTTACAAATTTAAAGAAACTAAACCCTAAAAGTGAGATTCTTAACTCTAGGGAAGCCTTAATCCTAACAAACTAAACAAAACTATGGTTCGATTCAGCTCAACTACAAATATAGCTCGTATATGTAGTGTTCGGTTAGTTTTGGCGGGTGATTTTATGCTCGCGTCGCACTTATCCTTCTCATATAACTTTCTAGCAGCATTTATATCATATGATCGCATATCACTATTTTAAATTGATTTTGATTAATATTTAGTTTTCATAAAAAAATAATTTTCCAATCATATTTTTCTATAATTTATACATATACCATTTCTTGTTTTTTAGCAAATTAAAAATTCATGACCGCGGCCATTAAATTCCAAGAATTAAATATAGACACATAAACATAAACTTTTAAATTTTTGTAAATCGTATATAGGTTTCAATAAAAAAAAATTCCACAATAATCATGGTGTAATTACTACATAAAAAAAAGTAACGAACCAAAACTCGTTTTATGCTAATACCT